ATGTATGTATGTATGTATGTATGTATGTACGTATGTAATGTATGTATGCATGTATGGATGTATGTATGTATGTATGTATGTATGTATGTATGTATATATATATATATATATATATGGTGAGGGGTCCTGGACCAGGGGGGGGGCCTCACTTTGCCCAGTGGCCGTGGTCACCCCCCCGCCGGAGACGCCAGGACGCTCCCAGGACCCTCTAAAATGGCTCCAGGACGCCCTCAGGACAGCCCAAGAGAGGTCCGAAGCGGCCCAGGAGCACTCCAAGACGGTTAAAAAGCTGCCAAAGCGTCCCAGCAGGTCTCCGACAGCACCCCCGGGAGGGGCCCAATAGGAAATTGTCATTGATTTTTAGCGGGTTTTGAAGGGTTTTGACGTTCTCCCCAGTTCGGCTTCCAGACGCTCCAAGGCGGCCCAAGAGGCCCGAAAGATGGCCTCAAGACGAGCCCAGAGGCCCCCACGAGACCACCGAGACAGCCCAAGAGGGCCCCAAGACGGCCCAGGAAGCTTCCAAGACGGCCCAAAAGAGCTCCCAGAACACTCCAAGAGGAGCCCCAGATGGGGAACACGAACTGACATTTCGAGCCCTCGCCAACCAGAAGCTCCCAAGAGGCCCCCAGGAGTCCGCAAGAGGCCTCGAGAGGCCCCCAGGAAGCTCCAAGAGGCTTCCAAAAGGCGCCGAAAGGGCCCCGCAAGGCTTCCAGACGCTGGTGATAATGACAATGATGATTATACAGGGCGGCCTCAGGCCCACAACCTAAATCCCCAATACTGCTCACGCGGCATGCAAGACGCTGCGGAGATATCCTCGAGTTCGGCGGGGGAGCTTCGGAGACGACGGTGAAGAACATGATGACGATGATGACGACTATATGAAGTTGACGACGACGATGATGATGCTGATGATGATGATGATGATGATGATGAGGATGAACATTATGATGATGTTGACAGTGGGAATGATGATGCTGATGATGATGATGTTGATGATGGTGATCGTGATGTGAGTGATGGTGGTGATGGTGATGGTGGTGATGCTGACGATCATGATGACGATGACGGTGATGCCGTTGAGGATGGTGATGCTGCCGATCATTATGGTGATGCTGCTGATGGTCAGGATGATAACGCCGATGCTGTTAATAATGGTGGCGATGCTGTTTATGGTGCTTGTGATGCAGGAGTGGGCGGATGATGAAGATGATGACGATGATGATGACGATAACGATGACGACGATCACGACGACGACGACGATAATGATGACGATGGCGATGATGAGGATGATTATGTTGATAATTCAGGTGACGATATTGACGATGATGACGACGATGGCGATGATGACGATGGTGATGACGATGTTGCTGCTGATGGTGGTGATGGTGACGATTGTGATGATGGTGATGGCCATGGTGATGATGACGATGCCGCTGACGATGACGCCGGATATGATGGTGATGAGGATGGCGATGATGACGATGACGATTATCCTAGCTAGAACTTGAGCGCGCGCGAAGCGCGCGCGATGGTTCTAGTATACATATACAACTATACATACATACATACATACATACATACATACATACAGAGACAGACATACAGACAGACAGACAGACAGACAGACAGACAGACAGACAGACAGACAGACAGACAGACAGACAGACAGACAGACAGACATACATACATACATACACACATGCATACATACATGCATACATACATACATACATACATATAACGGCGCACCAGGTCCGGGGGCCCGGGGCCGCGACCACGACCACAAATGTGTGTGCTCAGGCTCTTGGGGCGTCCCTGAGGCCTTCAAAACGCCCCAGGAACGCGCCAAGAGAACCCGAAGACGCCCCAAGACGGACCCAAGACACCCAAAGGCCGCTCCAAGATGCCCAAGATGGCCCCCAAGACACTTCCAAAGGCCTCGCAGACGCTCTAAGAAGCCCCCGAGAGGCCCCCCAGGACGTCCCCAAGAGGCAAAATGGCCCCATTCCCTTCGCAAAACGTGTATTTTTGTTTAGCATATGTATTGTTTTCGCTGTCGTACCGTTCTTGACGACATCAGAGGCCCCCAAGACCGCCCCAAGACGGCCCAAGAGGCGTCTCCGAGGGCCCCAAGACGGCCCAAAAGAGCCCCAGGACGGCCCAAGAGGCGCCCCAGACTGCCCAAACGGGGCCCCAAAGGCGCCCAAGAGAAGCCCAATATTGGGAAATCCAATCGACAATTCGAGCTCTCCGCCAAAAGAGGCGCCCGGGAGGCCCAAAGAGGCCCCGAAGAAGCCCCAAGATGCCACCAAGAGGCCACCCAGACGCCGCAAGAAGGCCCCACGAGGACCCCCGAGAGAGCCCTGAGAGCCAAAAATTGCTTATTTTCCGTGGAGGTTCGAAGGATTTTGGTAATCTCGCCTTCTCGGGTTCCCGACGCTCGAAAACAGCCCAAGAGGCCCCCAAGATCGACCCAAGGAAACCCGTCCGTAGCCATTTGGGCTCAAGCCGCTCTGGCGCAAGCCGTTTTTGTTTGGGGGCAATCGCTCTGCAAGTCCACCGGGTCCTCCCAGCATCTCTCGGCGCGACACCATGGCTCGGCGGGTGGTGCTCGCGGTTGCTGTCCTTCTCGGCTGCGGTATGCTGATGTCCGCTTTTGTGCTCTTCTCGCCGATGGCCATCCGCCCCGCGGATCAGCAGCCTGCAGCGCTGGGAACGGCGATGACGCCTGACGACAGGATTGTCCTGCCGAGTGGGTGTTGCATTCTCCATTGTGATTCCAATGTCGCAATAGCTGAAGGGCAGAACTGCAGCAGCAGCAACAATCAGTCACTGAAAATGTTCTCTTACACGTTGCACGGTTCGAATGCTTACCGCGTTGCTGGATGGAGCATCAAAGAGTGGCTGAAGTTTATAGGCTCTCTCGGGGTGGGTGCCATAGGAGTGCTTGCACGTGATTGTCTGTGACCCTCCGTCGCAATTTTCGCTCAAATGCATGAGCGTGGGCCGGTCCATGGCCCCTGGCGCCTCCACGAGCCTGGCGGTGGGCGCCGCGGTCGGCGCTCCGGCGGCGTGGGCGGGGCTGCGCCTGCTGGGAGCTTGGCTGGGGGCGCTGATCGCTGCCTCGGCCACGTGCCGCCGCCACCGCCGCCGCCGCCGCCGCCACCCGGAGCGGCAGGCATCGCGGCTGCGGTGGTGGAGGAGCTCGGGCCCTGGCTCGCGAACGCCTCGCCCGCTCCGGCAACTTGCCCGAACGCGGAGGCGGTGGCGGCGGCGCTGCTGGAGCGCCTGCCGCCGTCGCCCCGGCCCGCGGGGCCCCCGCTGGCGGCTTCACCGCCTGAGGCTGGCCCGGCCCTTGAGGAGCAGCCGAGCGTCGTGGCGCTGGTGGCTGTAGGCTGCGCTGTGGGAGAGCTGGTGCTGCTCGTCGCGTGCTGCCTGACGGCTCGCGCGCGGAGGAATGCTGGGGTTCCGGCGGCGTCGCGGCGTCAGTGCCCCGTGGCCGACCGGAGCCAGCGCCGAGGCGGCGGAGTGGTGCGCTGAGCTGCGCCCGGGGCTCCGCGTGGGGCTCTGGCACCGCCGGGATACGGTGCGGCACGAGCGCCTGCTGCTGTACCCGGCGGGCGGCACCTACTGGTGGGTGCTGACGCCGGACGACGACGTCGATGTCGAGGACGTCGCAGGGGTGACTGGCGACGGATGCTCGCGGGCCTTCGCGTGCACGCCAGGCGGGGCGCCGCCTGCGGTGGCCCATGGGGGCTTCTGCCGATTCCGAGCTCCCGTGCCGCCCGCCCGGCTCAGGGCCCTCATCCTCGAGGCCCGGACCGAGCAGGGGGCGCATGCAGGCGCGCCGCTGGAGGGCCCCGCCGTGTTCTACAGCTGGGGCGGCGTTCGCACGGCCTCTTCAGGGCTACGCCGCCGCCTCCCGCTGCGCGGCGCCGCTGGGGAGCCCGACGGGACTGCGACCCCGCCGCTGGCGCCCGACGGCGAGGCGGCCCCCTTGGCCGACGCCGCGGCTGACCGTCCGCCGGAGACAACCGCCGACTACGAAGCCATGGAGGGCTGCGTCTGGATGGTGGCCTCCTTGGGCCCGAAGCCGATCGGTCTGGAGATCGACCTGGCGGCGGGCGACGCGCGGCTGGACCGCGACCACGCGGCGGTCAGGCGGGACGGCCGTGACGACTTCCGCCGCCGCAAGGCCAGGGAGGTGACCGATCAGATGGAGGCGGACCTCGGGCCACCGCCCGCCATCGAGAGCGGGCCGCCCGCCGAGGTGGAGGACATCAGAACCTTGTGGGCGCAGCACGATGACCACGGAGAGCGTCGCAAACCGTGGCGCGAGGTCGTCCGAGAGGTGAAGCGATACTCGTTCAAGGACTGGCCGCTGGACAACGGGCTCTCCACGGTTGAGCACGTGATTAAGACGTGGGACAAGAGCGACGGCAACCCGCTGCTGTGGCTGGAAGTGTGGGCGCGGGACAGGCTGCTTTCACACTCGGACAGGAGCTACATAGAGATGAAGTGCCTGCTGACTGCCATCTACTACGCAGGCACCTACGACCAGGTGAATTTGGCGAGCATGGCGAGCATCGAGGTGCTGCGCCGCCGAGTGTCCACGATAGTAGAGGCTTACTCGGGCGACCCGAGCAAGGGCCCGAAGTGGGCCGGCCTCAAGCACTTCATGGGCACTACCAGCCCCATGGACATCGTCGACCCGACGCTGCGCACTACGGTCTTCCGCTAGAGCGAGGAGGAGATGGAGCTGGAGAGCTGGAAGAGGCGGGCCGCTGGCGTGCCGCTGCCCAGTCCGCTGGCGGCCGCGGCGGGCGAGGGGCTTCCTGGCGGCGGCGGCGGCGGCGCGGGCCGCGGCGCCGAGGGCGACGGCAGCGGGCGCTGCGGCGGCCGGGGCCGCAAGGGCGACAAGGGAGCAGGACGCGACGGTGGGCGCGGCGGCAAGCTGACCGCGCCCGTCGGGGGACGAGCCTGCCCGCTGGCGGAGGTGGGCGACCCGCTGGCTACGATCAGCCCAGTCGAGAAGTCGGGGTGGACCTGCTCAAGCTGTTCCCCCCGCCGAGGCCCCCCGACATCAGGAGTTGCGATGGCCGCCCTCAGAGCCGCGAGGGAGGCAGGCATGCCAGGCGAGCCCGCTGCGACTTCAACGATGCGGTGGGCGCCTTGACTTGGTTCGCGAACCGAGAACGCAAAAGCGCCAAGCCAAATTCTGACCAGCAGAGGGTGCACGCGCGGATCCTCGACCTCGTGGCGGACAGCATGCCGCCCCTGGAGACCGCGATCCCCTCGCCGCGGGCGGCCTTCAACGAGCTGCTGCACGGCCGGAGTGTCTACGACGAGTCGGCCGGGCGGAACGTCGGGCGTCTTCGCAATGCGGGGCAGATATCTTTACCTGAGACCGCGGTGGAGGGACCACGGCCGTTGGAGATCGCACCTGCCCATGCGCGCCAGTACCTCGAGGACGGTTATTCTCGGATGCTCGTACCAAGCGACGAATTACATTATCGATTCGATAGTTGCGATGTGATCCCGCATTGGGATCCCTCTCTTGTGCGCAACAGGAGGCTGTACATGCGTTTCATCAGGCTGCTCTACTCGAGGGGGATGCTTGTTTTCCTGGACGAGCCCTAGCGGCGCGAGGAGGTCGGAGTTTTCTTCGTCGCCAAGAAGAGCGACCAGCTCCGCGTGATCGTGGGCGCGCGGAGGAGCAACCTCCACTTCACTTCCCCTCCGGGCGTGGCACTGGCCACCGCCGAGGGGCCCACGCGGGTGGAGGTGGAGCTCGACGGCGACGGCGTGACCAGTGCGGCGGAGGGCTTCGCGTTGGGGACGTCTGACATCAGCGACGCCTTCCACCGCTTCCGCATCGATCGCGAGCTGCCGGGCTACTGCTGCACGCGGCCGGTGCTCGCCGGCGAGGCGGGGCTGGCTGGCGCCAGGCTGGGCGGCCGTCGTCTGGAGGCCGACGCCCGGCTGGTGCCGGCCTGCGCCGCGCTGCCCATGGGCTCCACTGGGTCGCTGTTCTTCTGCCAGGAGGTGGGGGAGGCGATGATGAGCGACACTCGCGAGCTTGCGGGGGTCCACCGGATGAGTAGCCGGGGCCCCACCGCGGCGCTGCAGCCGGCCAGGCCGCTGGACCATGGCGGAGGAGCGCAGTGCACCTACGTCGACAACCTGGGCGTCATGGGCTTTGACCCCGCCGCGGTGGCGGACTGCCTGGGCGCCACCGCGACCCGGTTCAACCAGGGCCGCGGGGAGACGCTGGGCTGCGTGCTGGACGGCAAGGCGCTGAGCACTCGCCTCACGGCGAAGCGCTATTGGCGCGTGAGGCAAGGCCTCAGCTGGGCCCTCAGCTGCCGGGCTCTGGCTGGTCTTGGGAGGTGGTGATCGGGCACTGCACGTACTGCGCTATGTGCAACCGCGACTTGCTGCCTGCGTTCGCCGCCGTCTACAAGGTCATCGCTGCGAACTACAGCCAGGGCGCCGCGCTGTGGGCTAGCGCTCGTGCGGAGCTCGTGGCCTTCCGAGGCCCGATGCCGCTGCTGTGCGGCGACTGGGCCCTTCCCTGGAGCGAGTTGGTGCGCCTGTCCGACGCCTCGGAGCACGGGTGCGCGGTGAGTGCCTCCCTCTTAAGAGAAGCGGAGGTGAAGAAGATCGGGCGGGTGCAGGAGCGATCTCGCTTCCGTCGCCTGGGCGGCCACTCGGCGCGGGCCCACTTCTTCGCCATGAATGGGATCGCCATGGCCCTCGGCGGGGCTCTCAAGCCGGTGTCCGAGCTGGAGGAGGGTGACGTCGTCGCGGACGGTGCCGAGTGGGGTGCGAATCCAGCTTTCGAGGAGATGCCGGCGGGGATCTTCGCGGGCGCCCGCTGGACCGAGCTAGTCGCCCGAGGGTGGCATAATACGGCAGAAGATATTTTAGCATACGAGTCGCGTGCTCTGCTTCGAGCTGCTGAGATGCAGCGCAGCCTGTCGCCGAGTGTCGGCGAGCACCTTGTCGTGATGAATGACAACCTGCCTGCAGTGCTCTGCTTCGAGAGGAGGAGAGCGAAAATCTTTGTCGTCCTGTCCTGCATCAGAAGGGCTGTGGCGCTATTCCTGGCCCTGAACAAGCGGCTGCATGCACGGCGGGTTCCCAGCGAGTTCAACCCAAGCGATGAGGGATCCCGGCTGTTCGACCCCAAGTACGACCCCTCGAAGGCCCTAGTAAACTCCTGGGAGATGGGTGACTACGACGGCGGTAGGGCAATATATCGTAGGCTTACTCAGCATGAAGCGGAGCACCATAGAGCACATGAGCACCATCATAAAGCACATGAGCGTCATCGCACAGCACATGAAGCGGAGCATCATAGAGCAAATGAAGCGGAGCATCATAGAGCACATGAACCGCGGAGCCCACAATTGCAGGGTTCACTACATCATCATAGAGCACGTGAGCACATGAGCAAGACCCAAGAGGTCTCCGCGGGCACGAACGATCAGGACGACCAGGGGGGCTTGTCTTCCGGGCCTCTTCGGGCCCACAGCGCAAGACGCCCAGCAGCAGCAACGACTAGCAGAGCACCGTGGCCATCCTCGGCTCGAAGCACGTCTCCTGCCGCAGGGGCCGCGGCAGCTCCCGCCGCAGGCGCCCGGGGCTCGGCAGGCGCTGATGAGTCAGCGCCAGCGGCGACTGCAGCCAGACAGCGACGACGGCGCGCCCGCGCCCGAGAGGCCCGAGCGGCGTGCCAGACGCTCGCGGGCCTTGTCGCCGAATGTGCTGCCCCCGCCGCTGGCCCCGCCGCCGGGAGCAGCCTCCGCGCCGCAGCGGCGCCGGGCGCTGGGGCCGCCGCCGGGCCTGGCGGCGCGGCTGCCGAGGCCGCCGCCGACGCGCGCCGCCAAGGGGGCCCAGGACCTGGAGGCCATCGGCGGGACCGCGCGGGCAGAGAGCGGGGAGAGCGACGCCGCGACCGACCCGGAGGACGAGAAGGAGGCCGCTCGGACCCAGCAGCTTCGAACGGCAGAACGCCCGTCATCGGTCGTCCGCTATCTCTCGCGCCCGGGCGTCGCCTGCCCTCGCCGGATTGTGCTTGCTAGAGCGCTCGTCAGTGAGGGAGGGCACAGAGGAACGATACCGGCGCGAGGTGCAGGCCTTCATAGATCAGGCGCCTGGCCGGCTTGTCGTGGACAGCGAGGTGGACGCTGCGCTCGCGCTCTACATGAACGGGCTGTTCGAGGAGGGGCACGGGGCGAACCGTGGCGACGTCCTGCTGTCTGCTCTCCTGCACTTCCAGCCACAGTATGGCAAGCTTGGCAGCTCGCGCCTCCCCCGGACCTGGCGCGCCCTGAAGGGGTGGCGACGCCGTTGCGGGAGGCGCTCGCGCAACCTTGTCGTGAGAATGATTTGGTCGGCGGTGATCTGGGACCTTTGCTGCAGGGGGCTCTGGCTGATGGGGCTCCACGTGGCCTGGATCATCGTGACGCATCGCAGGCCCAGCGAGCCCCTGACCATCCAGCGCCGCGACCTGGTCAAGCCAGTGAAGGGCGGCGTGGACGAGTGGTCGGTGATCCTGTTCCCGGGCAGCCGCGCCGCCACCCGCAAGAACCAGATGCAGGACGAGGGCATCAGCCTGGCCAACAAGCTCAACCCTTGATTGCCGCGGGTGATCTCGTCGCTTGCGCCAGGTGCCCCAGAGCCCAGGCTGTTCCCGCGCAGCTATCCAGAGCTGGCGGCCGAGTTCAACCGCGCACGAGCGAGGCTGGGGCTTCACTCGCTGGTAAACTACCAGGGGCGCCACTCGGGGGCGTCGCTGGACCTGCAAGGACGCCACCGCGACCATCTCGAGCTCAAGCAACGAGGAGGGTGGCAGTGCGAGTCGCCCCTGAAACGGTACGAGAACCCAGCCAGGTTGAATCTGTCCGCCTCGCAGCTGACGCCTACCCAGGCGGCCCAGTTCAAGAAGGCCGACGACCAACTCGAGGCGCTCCTCTTCGGCCGCGTGGCCGCCCAGCCCTTCGCGCCTCTGTGAGCGTCCGGCCTTGCTTCGCCGACCTGTTCTGCGGCGTCGGCGGCGTCGGGCGCGCCATCGGCAGGCGAGGCTATGCGGCCCGGCTGTGGGACTTCAAATATGGCGAGCATCTCGACCTTACAGACTACCGAGTGCTTCGTATGATTGAAGAGGACGCTTCTGCTGGGCTCATCCTTGAAGCCGCGCTGGCGACAGAGTGCACAAGTTTTTCCATCGCTCGCACGCGGACCAGATTCATTCGAACTTCTGCGATGCCGTGGGGCGTTAAAGACAGAAGCCAGTTCAGTGATAAGGACCATATTGCTTCGGGAAGAGGTAACAGGCTGATGAAGGCGACGCTCAGATTGATCCGAGTCTTCAACAAGTATCATATCCCGTGGTTCCTGGAGACCCCTACAGTAGTATGATGTGGAAGATCCCAGCTTTACGCAAGTTGGCTACCGCGCCGCACTGCAAAGAGGTGACAGTCGACTTCTGCAGCTTCGGCACGCGGTGGCGCAAGCGAACGCACTTCCTCTTCGGCAATACTTCAGAATGCCGTGTTCGACATTTGCAACACCATCTCTGTCAAGGCCGAGGAGTGAGCTCATACACTGCCAAGCCGCACATCGAGCTGTCAGGCCCGCGCCCGACTCGCCGGGTGCCGCGGGCAAAGGTGGCGGAGCCCTATCCCTTGGGCCTCTGCCGCGACCTCGCCACTGCCCTCATCTCCGCCTACGTCGCCACAAAACACAATCTGTGATTTGGGAGTGACATGGGGGCTCAGATTTCATTCATCCGCCAAGGGGCGGAAGCTTGCAGGTGATGCGCTACGACCCGGCCATCTGCATAGGCTCTCGCCTTCCTTTGCTGAACGATGCCGTGCCGTGTTTCACGAGACATATTCGCTGATGCTAAAATGAGGAGGGTGCAAACAGACATAGGAGTGCTTGCACGTGATTGTCTGTGACCCTCCGTCGTAATTTTCGCTCAAGTGCACCAGTGGCCTGCCCTCCGCCACGAGTGTTCCAAAGTCGCAGAGCTCAGATTTCTTTCATCCGCCAAGGGGCGGAAGCCTGCAGGTGATGCGCTACGGCCCGGCCATCTGCACTTCCTTTGCTGAGCGATGCCGTGCCGTGTTTCACGAGACATATTCGCTGATGCTAAAATGAGAAGGGTGCAAACAGACAAGTTTGCGTTCCAGGTGGGCTTTTTTGGTGCATCATTTTTGGACGAGGTATTCCCGCTATTGAAAAGCATGAACCCATATCAGGCGCAACAGCGGCAAGGAGTCATTGCAGAGGCCAACCGGCCCAACGTTGACAATTCAAGGAAGCATATGTTGAGCTGCTATCAGCAGCCACACTTCGCATAATAAATACTGCTGTTACAGATGTTTGTCATACTTCCACATTAAAATTTGCCGCGCCCAGCCCTGCTTTTTGGGAGGGCAACGAAAAGTTCAAATGGAAGTTCGGAGCCGGAACGATCAAACGGGCAGAAAATGCAGACGTGGGGCGAAGGGCAATGGGAAGAGCTCGAGGTTCCATGTGGCACAACAGACTATGTCATGCGCCGCGGGAATGCCCCAGAACCACCAGATTTTGCGCAGGTGGATGCCGAATCGCACGATGCACGCATTCTGACCGGGATAGAGTTCACCAAGTTCAGTCCCAAACAGATTCGATGGGAAAGTCTTCCAAACATTGAGAAGAAAGACGCCTTGCTGGACAAGCTATATAGCCATGGCTACGTCACCATGAAAACTGATGTCGGCGCAGATCCGTTCGCGGTCCGGCCAGATGTTTTGTTCGCAGCGGTTGGAATTATTGTTTAGAGCGTCGACCCTCCGGGCCTGAATTTCCATTGCTCAGCAATGGAATTGTTCGGCGCCTCAGTTTGTGAGCCTTGGCATGTCAGGCCGGCGCAGCGAATTAGATGCAGTTCTTTTTCCCAACCATCCTGTGGTGTTTGGTCCTCGTTTTGAAGAGACAGCGCCCCGCGTTCCTCTCCTCTCCTCTCCTCCTCCTCGTCCTCCTCCTCCTCCTTGTTTCTCCCTCCTTCCTCCTCGACCCCCGATCGCCCCGCCGCGGCACGCCGCGGCGCGGTGAGCGCCCCCGCTGGCCTCGGGAAGTAATATGTGCGCCGTTCGCGCCGCGGCGCGCCAGGCTGCACTGCTGGTTTGCAGGTGACGTCCGCCTGCGGTTAGCCCAGTGAATCTGATGCATCTCTTCGCCTCCAAGAGCTGGTCGCTCCACCTTGCGCGCACATCCTTGGGCGATCGACCAGAGAGGTGCGCGCGAGGCGGTTGTGTCTCTGGCGCGAAACCCCGCCAATGCAGCTTCTTTCTCTTCACCGCGGAGGCGATCGTTTATTGCAGCCCGCCTTGCGCGCGCGCCCGCGGGCAATCGACCAGACAAGTGCGCGCCAGGCTGATGCGTCTCCGTCAGGGAAGAAATCGACCCAAGGGGGCCCGCGAAGCTCCCAAGGGGGCGCCAGGACTACCCAAGAGGGCACCGAAACGGCCCAGGAGGCGCCCAGCACGCCCAGGAGGACCCCAAAACGGCCCCACGAGGGACTCCAGAACGGAAGCCCGAACCGACCATTCGAGCTTTCTGCCCCAAGAAGCCCCGAAGAAACCCAGAAGAGGCCCACAAGACGCCACAAGAAGACTCCAAGAGGACCCCCAACAGAGCCCCAAGAGCCCCAATTCGTTGATTTTCTATGTGTCTTTTTAAGGACTTCGCCCTTCTCGCCTTGTCGGCTTTCCCAATCTCCACGCCGGCTCGCGGGGCCACCAAGACCGCCCCGAAACAGCCCGAGAAGCCCCCGGGATAACCCCAACACGGCCACGAGGGCCCCAAGACGGCCTGCGAGCCGCCCAAGACGACCCAAGAGGGCCCCAACACGGCCACAAGAGAGGCCCAATATGGGGGAGCCCGAACCGACAATTGGAGCCTTCCACTTCAAGAGGCCACCCAGGAGGGCCCAATAGACGGTCGGTCGACACGGGGCAGCTGGTCGCATGTCCCCCCCCGAACAGCGAACATCGTCGCCATCGGGCTTGTAGAATGAGAACGTCGCTATGTTCGGGGGGTGCATCGTACCCGGCATACCCCCCGGAAGCTCCGCGCAGATCCTGTCCTGGCCAACATCTTGAGGATTCTTAATGCGTTTTAGAATTTCCCACGCGTCGCAATCCATTGTGGCTCGCCGAACTACTGAACTCCAGTCTGGTCCCGAGGGGGGCTTTGCCCGCGGCCTTCGCTGGGGCGGGGCCATGGAAACCGGCGTCCGCGGCTGCCGCGTCCTCGTTCTTCTTTGCCTTAGGAGGCCGAGGATCCAACGTTGCAGGGTCTTCGCCTTGCCAGCGAATCCATCTGTCCGAGAGTCTGCGTTCGCAGCC